CTGGGGGAGAACTCGCCGCCCTCCCCCACTCACCCAGCAGCCGGCCTCACTGCCCCCCTCGGCCTGGCGTCTGCTGGGCCTGCCTCGGCTGTGGCTTCCCCGTGGTGGCCCTGCTTTCCAAGAGATGGGGGGGCGGGCATTAATCTCCATTTCACAGACGAGTTCACCGAGGCCGAGGCCGGGGCTCAGGGCACCTGGCAAGCTCGGGCTAGGAAACCTTGGCCAGTCCCGGCCCCCACCCTGCGTGAGGCTGGGACTCTGCTTTCAGCATCAGACTGTGCTCTCCGAGCCCCCTCTGCCCCATCATCTCCTGTGAGAAGCCCTCCTGGTTTCCCCAGGCCAGGACTGACCTTCCACTGGATTCCCTCTTGCTCTCTGCGCACTTCAACCCCGTGTGGCCCTCTTGCTGGGTGTGGGCCACCTTCGCCTCCGCCGCAGGGTGTAGCCTGCACTGGGTGCATGGGTGGGGTGCCCGGGCTGGCGCTGCCCCCTGACGCGAGGGCCTGTCTGCGCTGGGTGGGGCGGCCGGCTGAGAGAAGAAACTGGATCCATTTGCTTGTTTTGACAACCGGCGCTGCGTGGGGGGAGAGTGTTTTTAGTAAGGACCCTGGGCGCCTCCGGGCCTCGGAGCCAGTTAGCAGACGGCACCCAGGTGACTCTCAGTAATTAAACTGGCCTGTCGGGTCGTCTAGCCGCCGTCCCTCATGTGCTTTCAAGTGTGCCCGGCCGCCGCGGCCCTGGCACACTGGTGCCAAGGGGGTGTTGCCCCCGCCCCTCCCCCAAACTGGCCGATTCCTTCTCGCCAGCCCCGGGCACACCTGGGCACACCTGGGCAAGCCTGGGCACACCTGGCGCGATGTGGCTGAACCTGGCAGTGTCCTGGTGCCAGGCTCTCTCGCTACACCCAAGTCCGAGGCCACTTGCAGAATAGGAAACTGAGGCCTGGCCAGAGAGGTGGGCTGCCCAGGACCCCTCCACGGTGCCCACGCCCTAAATTGAAGCACGGCCGTCGCCCACGTGTGGGACTAGGAGGCCAGCACCCAGAGGCCCTGGCTCCCGTCAGACCGGGTGGCAGTCGCCCCTGTGGGGCAGTGCTGGGTGCCCCTGGGCCTCTGGAGACCAGCTCACCCTCTAGGATGTGGGCTCAGGGCTCCGGCCCCCACCTCCTCTCGGGCGCACCAGGCTGGCCAAGGAGGATGGAGCCGTCCGCAAGCCTGCCGGTAAACACGGCCCTTGGGGGCCACTCGCAGGGGGCGCCTTCTGGGAGTCAGAACTATGCTTTCCTCCCTGGTGCGCAAGTAGATGGAGTTCGGCCGTGTCTCGGGCCCCGTGTCCCTTTCATCTGCGCGCCCGCAGAGCGTGGGAAACGAACGCTGTGTCCTCCATTCTCTGAATGGTGCTGAGTGACGCCGAAGTCCCACGTCGGAGCCGACCGCTGATCCAGAGCGTTCTTACCTTCCCGAGTGTGAGCTTTGGTTTCCGGGTGATGTTCTTCTGAGGCACGGGGGGTGGGGGGGCGGGGGCAGGGGAGGTCTAGGGGGTGAGGTACAGGACCCGGTGGTGGTGCTGCCTGTGTGTCCCCTGCGCAAGGGGCTGCTGGCCGGGCTGGCTCCAGGAGTTAGCACCAGGGGCTGTTGGTCAGGAGGCCATGGGGACTGTCTGTGTCTGAGGTCTGGACTGGGCACGTGGGCTCTTGGAGTGGGCTGCCCAGTGGGCAGGAAGGGCGACCCAGGCTGTCATATCCTTGCCAGGCGCTCGAGCCTGAGCTTAGAGGCTCACTGTGTTAACTCGTTTAACTGACTGCTACTCCCATTCTACTGCTGGGGAAACCGAGGCGGAGAGCGAGCATGCCCTGCTCAGGACCACGTAGTGAACCTGCAGCAGAGCCAGGATTCAAACCTGGGTCTTGGTTCTTAGCTCTGCCCTCAAGGCCTCCTGTAAAACAAAGATGATAAGGGTGGGGGGGTCTCTCTTTTGGCTTCCGGGGTGTTCGGGGTGCTGGGAGGGCAGCTCATCTGGGCCCAGGGCCGGGCCACCCGCATACACACGGCTCGGTGAGGAGAGGTGCACCTCCCACGCTCCCGGGCCCCTGGGCTGGAGCGCCTGCCTCGGGAAGCAGGCCCAGGAGCCCCCGCGGGGCCCTGCGCCACGGAGCGTGGAGTAGATGCAATGATGTGAAGGAGGTGCAGCGTCCGGACGTCTTCCCCTTGGCCGCTTCGTCTTTGTGTTATAAAGCGAATCTGCCTGCCCCGCGCTCAGATCCTTCCGAGAAGGTACATCCGAGCCACTCCCTGTCTGCCTGAGCTCCCGGAGTCCCAGCCGGCACAGATCTGAGCCCCCCACCTTCAGCTCCAGGCACCCCAGCGCGTCTGGTCTGCCGCCTTCCGCACCGCACATCCTCTCCCCATGACCCCGTAGGCACACGGGGGGCACACGTAGTGCCCTTCGAGGCCACAGGTTTTTAGCAGGCTCTCGGAGAAGCCCTGAGGACGAAGACCGGAGCCCGGGTTCTTGATTCCGGAGCTAGGTTCAAGCTGTACCTTCTCCTCCGAGCAGTGAGAGGTGCGGCTCGGAGCAGGTGCCCAGGAAGTACCAGGACGAAGGAATGACTTGGAAGCAGGGGTGGGGCCCTCGTCTGTTCCTTGTTCAGGGATTTAGGTTCAGGCCCCTTTAGGGTACCCTGTTTTCCCCTTTCTCTAGCTGGAGACCCTCGTGCCCCTGGCACTGAGGCTGTGATTGTCCTGGGCGCGCTGCGGCCATGCTGGATGCTGACATTGTCCTTGGGTGGAGGGAATCTGAGGGGGGCTTCCGGAGAGGCAGTGGTGCGTCCCTGTCACCGCCTGTCCCCGGGAGCAGGGTGTGCTGGGTGGGGAAGCCTGTGGGCGGGGGAGACATTGCCTGACGCTTCTGGGCCAGCCATCCCCTCAGTGCCCGGGGTGGCCCAGATGGGAAGCTGGGCACCGGGCAGTGTGGTCTCAGGAAAGGCCGGATGGGACGGGAGGAGCCCCGCCTGCCCCCGGGGGGGACCCGCCATCATTTCTGTGCAGATGGCTTTGCTGTGCTTCCGTCTCACCCCTCCTTTTAAAGCATACATTAGCTCCACTCTTAACGTCCGGTGTCTCGTTGAGCCGGGCAGGGGACCTGGGGGTTCGGAGCGTCACCTGGTGCCAGAGACGGAAGGGACGGAGCCAGTACCCAGTGCAGAGCCCCTGGCCCAGCCCCGCCCGAGCTTCAGGGCACAGCTGGGACGCAGCCCCAGAAGCGGCTCAGGTGTCCCCGGTGCGAACCCAGGGTCAGCGCTGCCCAGCCACAGCTCTGGGTGACCTGAGCACCTGCGCGTGGTTTCTCATAAGCTCCTCCAGGTGCTTTCTCGCCTCTGATTCACGGGTGCCGTTTGTTGTTGTTTCCGGGGTGAAGAACAGCTTGAGACCACGTGACCTCCATCCGTCACCCACCCGTTTATCCGCCTGTCCATCCGTCCGTCCGTCTGTCCATCCATCCGTCTGTCTGTCTGTCCGTCTGTCCATCTGTCCGTCCATGCCTTTCTAGTGCCGGGCTCCGTGCTGGGCGGCGTGGACCCAGGCTGAGCACATGGTCAGGTCTTCCCACGTGAGGTGGGCCTTGAATTGAACCTCGAAGGGAGGTTGGCCTGGGGGGACGGGCTGGGGCAGGGGACGGTGGGCAGAGGGGCGCCCACAAGGGCGGGGGCAGGGTGGCCGCCCCGCCCTCTCCTGCTCTGGCTCACCCTGGCCGTCCCCGGTCTTCGGCTGTGGCAGAAATGAAATGAACTTCCGCAGCCCCGTTCTTGAGCGGGTTTCTGGCCTGGGGCGGAGACGTTAGAATAAAAGGAGCAGATTCTGTTCTGCCCAGGTGGACACCTGTTTGCTGAGGACCGCAGCCTGCCCCACACCCCCGCCCCACCCCCTTCTCTCCTAGATGCAGTTTGGGAAGACAGAGTTGGTAGGGACACTGGGCCCCCCACCACAGTGCGGAACTATGAGGTTTTCACGGAAAGTAAAGGGCCTCGAGTCCAGATAAGCTTGGGACTCAGGCCCACTCTGTCTGCTAGACGGTCTCAAGTAGCACGCAGACGTGAAAGGCCCTGACAAGGCCCGCAGCAAAGAAGCACTTCCACCTGCCCCGAGTATGCCATGTCCTGTCCAGGTGGCAGAGCTGCACCCGCCCCCTGCAGGAACTCCATCCTGCACCCCCTGCTGGGGTTCCCCACCCCCAAAATTAGCCTTTGGATTCGACCATGTCAGGGTCACTGCCACCCTTGTCAGGAGCAGTTCCACTGGGGGAGTGGACGCAAGTTCAAGAGACAGAGAGGAGGTGAGGGGGGAGAGATGTCAGTGGAGACACATGCTCTTGAGGCACCAGGGGGCAGGGGAGCGTGGCAGGCGCTGGGGGCCCAGGTGTGGCACCGAGGGGGTGGCCCAGGAGGGAGGGAACTTCGGTGTGGCCGTCAAGTGGACACTAAAGAGGCTGCCGTGCCCCTTTGGGGCTCATGCCCTGTGGCTCCCTTTCCAGAAGGGAGGCGGGGCCCTCAGGAAGGCAGCTGAGACAGGCGGACCTGCGCTGAGTGGAGCCAGGCCCCGGGGCGGGGGCAGCCTCCCACACTGCATGCCCGTCCCCGCCTGTCCCAGAAGCTCCGCCGTCCCCACCAGAACCCCGTCCCGCACCCTGTCCTCCAGGAGGTGGTGCTGGCGGTGCTCCGGCCGGTGCTAAACACGGGGGCACCCGGGGACCCCGGCACCGTCACCCGGGAGAAGGCTCCCTGCTGTCCCTGACCTTCATTTGCCAACAGGGATGCAGGGGCCCACGGAGAGTGACCATCGGTGTCCCAGGGCCAAGTTGGGCGCGGCCGTCCTCACCCCTGACACCTGGGGTCCTGGCTGGTCCCGACGCACGTGCCGATTCCGCGGGAGCAGACAGCAGCCCAGCATTGCAGACCCGGCCGGGCCTAGCGACCTGCTCACCCCCCTTTCGTCTCTCCGCAGGCCCTTTCCCTCGGAGGAGACCGCAGAGAACGACGATGATGTCTACCGCAGCCTGGAGGAGCTGGCGGAGTAAGAGACCAGCGGGGGGTGGGGACGGGGACGGGGTCGGGGACGGGGATGGGGACAGGGTCGGGGATGGGGACGGGATGGGGACAGGGATGGGGTCAGGAACGGGGTCGGGGACGGGGAAGTCTCGGCAGGGCCTCTCCGCTCGGGCTCCGCAGGCCAGAGGGAGAAGGCAGGCGTCCATGAGATCTCAGACGGATGAGCGTGTCTTCACCTCACACCTCCCTCTGTGTTCTGGAAGGCTCCCAGCTCCTGCTGGCCGTGGAGAGAGCTGGGGTTTCCAGAAGCAGGGCCCCTGGAGTACAGGCCACAAGCAGAGCGGTCTGTGGGTTCAGGGCTGTCTCATGGCCTGAAAGGGTGGGCGAGGGGCTGAGGCCGGGTCACCTGAAGCCGCAGGGGCGCCCACCCCCTTCTCCGTGGCCCACCCTGCATCACTGTGCCTGCTTCCTTCCTGCTGCACCTCACGCAGCCCAGGCCTGGCCTCAGTGTCCTGGGGCACCAGGGGCCAACTAGGAGCCCAGGAAGGTGGCCCTTCTCGAGGAGGTGGTCCGGCCCTGCAGGGTCAGCTGTGGCCGAGGGCCACGCTGCTGCTGCTCAGAGAAGGAGGCCGTGACATTAAGAGTGCGCCCCCTTAGTCCGCTGAGCTCCCGGTGAATGCAGTCCCTGCCAACGCAAATCCTAGATTACGGGGACGGGGGATGACTCTGCGTCTGTAACTTGCGGTTGTCCCTGCTTCTAGTTTAATACGTTTTTCAGGCTTGTTCACCTTCCTCCTTTCACTGAGAAGCACGTTCCCCTTGCCTCCTGCCTCTGTGGGCTCGGGATTGATATTTATCCATGATGGCAATCTACAAGATACAGGCAGACCTGCCGCTTCCTGCCTGGCCCCGCCGGGAGACGGGAGGTGGCTGCAAGTCCTCCAGGCCGGGGCCGGGGCTCCGGGCTGACACCCGACAGCGGCAGGGAGCAGGCCGTGACATCTGGAGTGGAGCATCTGACCCCTGGCCTTGGGCTCCTGGCCAGGCGTCCAAAGTGATAACCACCTGGTGCCCTTGAAGGCCCTCCCTCCCGGCCGCCCCGACCTCAGACACTTAGCAGCTGTCTGAGTTTGTCAGACGCCGGCTCCCCGCGGGGGACTGGTGTGGTTCTCAGGACGCCGGTGAGGGGCCACCATGTGCGCATGGCCCCATGTACACCTGTCATTCCCGCGGTCAACGTGTGTGTTCAGTTACCACTGAACAGCAGCGCTTTCTGTGTGTCAGCTCAGGGCCAGGCGCTGGGGGCAGGGGAGGGACACCCGTCCCTGCTTCCTACGACCCCGGGCTCGGTGGAGGGTGGGGTCCCGTACAGCGAACAGGCCCTTTCAGGGCAGTGTGGTGAGGATTGCAGGAGGGGGCGAGGCTGCCTCTGGCGTTGCTGGAGGAGAGATGGGGTCCCCCGTGTGCGGCCCGTTGGGAACACACCTTAGAGAGGTCTTTCCCACTGGGGGCGTCTAGAGCCTTCGCTGTTCCCAGTGTCCCCAGGCGGTTACTGAGAGCCTTGCGGCGTCAGCCCACAGGACACTGCTCCACGGGGAGAGCCCGGCCGCCGGGAGCAGGAGGCTCTGCGTCAGCAGCCAGCGGCCCAGCCTGTCCCGTCCGACGGGCCTGGGAGCCTCGGCTCTGTCACCTCCTCCTCACGTGCTCTTTTCAAGTTACCCACCTCTGTGCCTCGGTTTCCCTCTGCGTACCGCGCGGCATCAGGATCGGCCTCGGGAAGACTGTCAGTGATGGTGGGTGGCACAGCGCCCCGTGGGCACACCGGGGGCCCTGTCTGCCCGTTTCACCGAGATTGTGGCTCTCCCCCCCCCCCCCAGCTTCCAAATGGCTGGGGCAGCGCCGTCCAGAAGAACGGGGACACAAGCCGCACGTGTGACCATAGGTTTTCCAGCAGCCGCATCAAAACACACAGAGAAATAGGTGAAGTTAAGTGTAGGAATGTGCTTTTAACCCCACGCGCCCAAAGCGTGTGGTCAGCGAGAGCCATTGTTATTTGCCTTCTCTGGTGCTTCACAAAGGCCAGCGTGGCGCGTGTGGCGCTGACGGCACAGCTCAGTTCACCCGCCGCATCCGCGAGCTCGCAGTCACGTGCAGCTGGTGGCCCCTGTGTGGGCGGCACAGGTCTCGGGTCCAGAACATGGTTCCGGGAGCCGGTGCGGAGCCCTCCCCACGTCTGGACGGCTGGTGCTGGGCTAGCGCTGTGCGCCCATGCGCTCCGAGCTCACCTTCTAGATCACTGAATCCTGTGTGATCAAGTAATAGAGCAGCTGGTTGAAAAAATTAACAGGAAATAATTGTCACTTAAGTGGCCTATTTCCAGCTCCTGGGGCACCATCACTGACCACAGGGCTGGGGAGAGAGGCCCTCGGCTTCTTCCTGGTCCTCCCCGTGCGTAGGCCTGAGGGCTGTGCTCTCGGGATCTCTCTCCCCCACGCCCCCACCCCTGCAGGGCTGGGGCTGTGCTCTCGGGGTCTCTCTCCCCCACACCCCCACCCCTGCAGGGCTGGGGCTGTGCTCTCCGGGTCTCTCTCCCCCACCCCCCACACTTGGACATGGCAGCTTTGGGATTTGGAAGTACATGTTCCCTGTGCTTTGGAACTAGGAGTTTGCAGAGAGTTTTCTTGCCCCAGATGAGGCCGGGGTGGGCGGCTGGGTCACAGCCACAGGACACCTCTGCTCAGCAGCCCTGCCGGGGGGACGGGGGTGGGAGGCAGGGACAGGGTGTCAAGCTCTACAGTGACGGATGTCCGGCCAGCCACTCGGGAGCTCTGTGGGAGGGCAGGGAGGCCGCGGTGCCCTGACACGTGCGGCTCCGACTAGAAGGGCCGCCTCCTGAGACCCCGGAGCGTATGGCCTTGGGCTCTGCTGTCCAGGCTCAAGACTGGGGCTCTGGCTTTGCTCCGTGACATTGCCTGTCCTTTCCAGGGGCCTCTGTTGCCCGGGTGACAGTGCCCTTGACTCCTGGCGTGTTGGCAAGCACCTGCGTGTTCCAGCCTGAGGAGAGGCGAAGGCGCTGTTCCGTCTTACCCAGACACATTAAATCCTTCTCAGGGCCTCAGTTTCCCCATCCCTGAAATGAAAGCAGCAGCCGGTTGGTGTGTGGCCCCCTTGGAACTTGAAGGAGCCGCGGCTTTATGACCGAGAAACCCCTGCTGCTCTGCCCCCTCCTCGCTTCCTGGGGGTCGGAGTGATTTTCAGGCATAAACAAGTGTGATTGTGGCGCGGCAGGGGACGGAATGTATCCAAAAACCTATCCCTGCGTGCTTCGCTGAATCCTGAAATCACTTTACGGCTTTCAACGTGCTGTGTTCGCATTGTTGGGATAATTTTTTTAAATGTTAATTTACTTATTTTTGAGAGAGACAGAGTGCAAGCGGGGGAGGGGCAGAGAGAGAGAGGGAGCCACAGAATCAGAAACAGGCTCCAGGCTCTGAGCTGTCAGCACAGAGCCCGATGCGGGGCTCAAACCCTCGGAGCTGAGATCATGACCTGAGCCGAACCTGGGCACGTAACTGACTGAGACAACCAGGCTCCCCTAGGGATAATTTTTTGATGTTTATTTATTAATTTTCAGAGAGAGAGAGAGAGAGCGAGCAGGGGAGGGGCAGAGAGAGAGGGAGAGAGAGAATCCCAAGCAGGTCCCTCACTGTCAGCACACAGCCCAACTCGGGGCTCAGACTCATGAACCATGAGATCATGACCTGAGCTGAACTCAACTGACAGAGTCACCCAGGTGCCCGTGGGGTAATCTCTTAAGATGAGTAAAATGTAGGAACGTCCCAAGCTGATGCTCCTTCAAGGGCACAAGGACATCTTGCAGCGGGGTCTTTCCTGTCCTCGGGAGGGAGGTGGGGCGCACAGGGGTGGGGGCAGACGCTGTGCTCCTGCCCCCCCCAGTGCCCCTTACCGGCAGGGGATGAAGAGCAGTCACTGCCCGACCATGACCTTCACCCAAGTGACATCATATCGCCCCCTGCCCCCCATCCTTGCCCGGCCGCCTCTCCCAGCTGCAAAGAAAGCTTGTCCAAAAACTATCCCAAGTTCACGGAAGTTCAAGCCACCTGTCCCCATGGTCTGGAGAAGCCACCTGAGCCCCCCTCCCGCCCCCCCCCTTCCAGAGTTGGCAACAGGACAGGCTGGGCAGAGGGTCCGTCTGAGCCCTGCCCGGCACACAGGCTCTAGCGCCTTCCTGTCATTCTGGTGATGGACATGGCTGGCCACCCCGCACTGGGCTCCCCACAGCTCTGAGATGTCCTGCTCTGCACCCCGGGACCATCTCGGTCTCTCCGTGCACGGGCCTGGGCTGCCCTGGCCGGCCTGGGGCTTTGGTGACCTTGCAGCCCCCCGGCACCATGGGAAATAAGTCTGCTGCTTCTCTGTGCCAGAGCCGGCACGAGGGGACATTCATGCGTCCCGGCCGGCAGACAGAGCGCAGGCTGCTGAGAGCTTTTATTTTAATACCTCATTAGGCCCGGTCTCTGCCCGACCACGGCTGTCCCAGCGACTGCGGCCTCTCTGCAGGGGGGTGAGGGGAGGGGGGTGCAGTGTGGAAGGACAGCCTTCAAGATGTGCATGTTCAGCCTGGTCCCAGAAGGAGGTGGGGATCAGCTGCACTTGGCCAGACGGAGAGGTTCACCTTCTGTCTAACGAAGGCCCCTCTAAATCGCTTCTTGACACAGTCTTCTGAGACTCTGAGTGTGAAGACGAGGCCTCGCTAATGTTATTTGTCCTGTGCTCGGCCATACCTGACACAGTGGCACTTGAATAGGCATAACACCCTGGATTGCATCATAAAAAGCCCTGTCGTGTGCCGTTACCAAGTAACCGAATACAAAACCGCATCCTACAAAACCCAGCCTAGAGGTCACCTCCTCAAAGAAGCCACCCTGACTTTACTCTGCTGAATGAAGTCTTTCTCCTTTAGAAGATTAAAAAGCAGCCCGGGATTATCTTTGTCACTGTTAG